AAAAGAGATTTTGGAAGGCTGGCAGTGCTCAAAACTGGGAAAACTCGCTCAGTAGAGTAGAGCTGTTCATCTGATTTCAATTTTTACACACCAGTTTTGTTCACATTCACTGGGATGTTGAGAAAATTTCAGAAAGTTGAAACATTAGAAATTCTTCCTGCTATTAATCAAAGGACAAAATTGTGTATTCTTATGATCAAAGTTCAAACACAAAAACTAATTTATTCGTTTGCTTTGTCACCAAGTTAGACATTAATTTAGTGAGGCATTTTTTGCTTGCACAAGTGGTCCATGTCCACATACTTGAGAAAACGTAGAACAGTACAGCACAGGATCAGGCCCTTCGGCGCACGATGTTGTGTCGAACGTGACACCAAATTAATCCCTTCTGCCTGCCCTTGGTCCATATCCTTCCATTCCTTGTATATTCATGTGCTTATCTAAAAGTCCCTTAAATGCCCCTATTGTATCTGCCTCCACCACCATCCCTAGCAGCGCATTCCAGACTCCCACCACTCTTTGTGTAAAAAAAAAAAACCTGTCCCTGAGGTCTTTGAACTACCACCACACCCTCCCCCCTCCCCCCGACCCACACACCCATGCACACCTTAAATGCATGCCCACTGGTATTAGATATTTCAACTCTGGGAAGAAGATTCTGACCATCTGCCCTATGTGTATCTCACAGTTTTATAGATTTCTATCAGGTCTCCCCTCAGCCTCTGGCTTGCCAGAGAAAACAGCGAGTTTTTCTAGCCTCCTTATAGTTCATACCCTCTAATCCAGGCAGCAGCCTGGTAAATCTCTTCTGCACCCTCTCCAAAGCCTCCACATCCTTCGTGTGATGTGGCAACCAGAACTGAACACACTACTCTAAATGCAGCCTAACCAAAGTCTTATAAAGCTGCATTATGACATCCTGTCTGTTGGACTCATTTCCCCGACCAACAAAGGCAAGCATGCCAAACATTGCCTTTATCACCTTATCTACTTGCGTGGCCGCTTTTGGGGAGCCATGGACTTGAACTCCTCGGGTTATGTACATCAATGTTGTTCAGGGTCCTGCCATTAACTGTATACCCTTCCTTAACATTTGATCTCCCAAAGTGCAGCACCTCACTTACCTGGATTAACTCCATCTGCCATTTCTCTGCCCAAATCTGCAACTGACCCATATCCCGCTGTATCCTTTGACAACTATCTATACTATCCACAACTCCACCGATCTTTCTATCATTTGCAAACTTACTAATCCACCCATCTACATTTTCTTCCAAGTTATTTGTATATATCACAAACAGCAGAGGTCCCAGTGTAGAACCCTGCGGAACACCACTAGTCACAGACCTCCAACCAGAAAAACATCCTTCCACCACCCCCCTCTGGCTTGCCCAAAGAAGACAATTCTGAATCCAAGCTGCCAAGTCACCGTGGACCCAATCATCATAATCTTTTGGATGAGGGACTTTGTCAAAAGCCTTACTAAAATCCATGTAGACAACATCTCCTGCTCTAACCTCATCGATTACCTTCGTCACCTCTTTGATAAATTCAGTCAAATTAATACAACATGACCTGGCCTGGACAAAGCCATGGTGACTGTCCCTAATTAAGCCATGCTTTTCCAAATGTGTGTAAATCCTATCCCTAAGAATTCTCTCCAATTCCTTTCCAACCACCAGTTTGAGACTGTACTGGTCTATAGTTTCCTGGATTATTCCTATTTTCCTTCTTGAACAGAGGAACAATATCAGCTACTCGCCAGTTCTCCAGGACCTCTTCAGTGGCTAACGAGGATACAAAGATCTTGGTCAAGGCCTTAACAATCTCCTGTCTTGCCTCTCCCAACAACCTGGGGTAGATACCATTGGGCCCTGGATTTATCCATCTTAATGCTCTTCAAGAGATCCAACGCCATTTCTTTCTTGAACTCAACATACCCTAGCATATTTGCATGCTCCACACAAATTTCACTATCCTCCATATCCTTTTCCTGAGTGAATACTGACGCAAACTATTCATTTAGGATCTTGCCCATGAGATGCCAAAGTCACCACTGTGTCGCACAGGATAATGTTATTCAGTATTGTTTTCCATGTAAATTGCCATCTTCTCTTGGAATACCAGATGCAACAAACATTTTTTTGGACTTAAGTGCAGGATTTTGGATCTTTGTTCCTCAGGTTTTCGAAAGCTAGACATTTTGGTATCAATTTTCCTTTCATTGTCCATAATCAAGAAACCACAATCTATGTTTTAATAAGTAATAAGGATGGCTGTTTTGTCAAAGACAATCAGGTACATATCAGTAGTTGAAATAAAGATGGTTGAATTGCTGTATGCGGGAACAGCAAGGCAGTGAAGTAGCCTAGATGGGAATAGTTTGGCAGTGAATTGCCAATCTGTTTTTTTTCCCTATTAGAGGATAGGAGCTATGGCATAGTTTGCAAATGTCAACTTGGAGGTTTTGAGGGTGTGGCGCTGAGATGTTCCAGGATTGTAGGTGGAAGCTCAGAAGTATATGGAGGGTGAGATATTTGGGGTGCAGGCAACAAAGGAAGAAATACTCTGTCCGAAAACTGAGAATGTGTTCCAAGAATATTGTGAATAGCAAAGTCTGCAATTTACAGGAAGAATAATGATTCATAAAGTGAGGAAGCTTACAGGCATCATCATAAATAATGAGACTGAAGTTAGACTAATATTTTGACCTATACCATAGCTTCTAAGGATTTTAATTGGTGACAATCTAGTGGGATTTATTATTTCATTTCAAAGCTATGTGAAATTTGGTGTAGTACCACCAAATTGGAAGGACACAAACTGTATGCTGTTAACCAACCAAGAGGAACGGACAAGCCAAATAACGACTTGCTGAAGAGTTTAATACTAGAACTGGAAGATTAAGAGCCTGAATATCTACATCTGAATGTAGAGACTGGGGCAAGTTGACATGTTTTGTGTAAGCTGCTCTTGTCACCTGACTGAATAGTTCTTTGAAACCTACTGAATTGATGCATAAAGAAGGATGAATGGGTGACCATTTTTAATCATTCATGGGTTATAGGTGTCACTGGCCAGGCCAGAATTTATCATCCCTAATTGCCTTGAAGGTGGTAGTGAGCTGCCATCTTGAATCACTGATATTCATAAGGTTTAGATACACCTACGCTGCTGTTAGAAAGGATTTCCAGGATTTTAACTCAGTAACAAAGGAACGTTGATATAGTTCCGAGTCAGGATTGTGAGTGACTTGGCAAGGTAATTTGCAGTTGGTGCTGCTTTCATGTATCTGCTGCCCTTAGCCTTCCGGAAGTAGTTCAAGTTTTGGAAGTCACCGTGGAAGAAAGCCTGATGGGTTGCCTCAGTGCTTACCTTCGATTCTGGTGGATTCAGATTTCTTGCTGTAGAGGTTTGACACATATTGACTTTGAATAGTCTAAGTTCTTTCCCTCTGGTTTAAGTCCAAGGCTGAGATCTGACTAAAGTCGCCCAGTTACGCTAAAGCTGAGCCAACTGTGCCAGATACAATCAAATCCGTACCCTTGGATCTCGGGGAAAGAGGATCAGGGCTATCTAAGTTGAACAGCCAGAATGAGAATGAGAAATGTTTTTGCATCAGACACCAGCTGATCACCTTTTCTCCCTTCTAAGCAGTTTTTAAATAAACTTCATAACCTCCCCCTAATTTCCTGCCTTCAATCGGAATCTTGCACGTGTTCCTTCCAAATCCATTTTTAAAGCCTATATGTACTATTTCTGCCTAATTTCCACCATCCTGTTGTATGTGTTATTTCTAACACAGGACCTGAATATATTATGTTCTATTTGTTCCTTTTTTCAGACTGCCCTGCATCATGGCAGTGATGAACTTTGCACGAGCACTTAGCAATTAATCAGCCTGAAAGAGGGGGACAAGAATCCATGTAACTTTAGAAACCTGCTGAATTGTCTTTAAAAATGGGTAGAAGAGCAAAAGAGCAGGATATTGATGAGATCCTTTTTGTAATATGTTTTAATTGAAAGCTGTTCTAAAGACTGTGTTCTGTGATATTTGTATGGTGACTTCAACTATATCTTAGGTTGAGGGAAATATGCAATTTGTATTTAGGCTCTTGCATGTTCTGTTTAAACCTTGTACCATAAACCAGCAATGAATGTGGATTTACAGTTCTTGGGAAGGGATTTGTGGAAAATAGCAATTGGAATGAGGATAATTGTATTTAAGGAAGCCCACTTGACTGATCTGATTCATCACCACTGAGAAAAACTGCAGTGTCCCTCATTGCCCCTTCCTGTTGGCTCTTGCATGCTTCCATAGTTTTCACTGAGAGCTCCCTATCTTGGAGTATGTTCCATCCATGGATTTCTCTTTCAGTAAGCATTTCCTAACATCAGTCCTGAGTTTGCCTTCTAGCTTGTCATTGGGTGGCCTGTTCTGCTGTGAAAGTTGGATTTTCTGGACATTCATTATCTGGTCCATTTGATCAAGTGTCCGGTGAGGAATGTGGTCACTGAGATGTATCAGCGGAATTGGAAAGGGATTGTGGAGCCACTGCTCTGCTCTCACCTGAAGAAATTTTCACAGTGCAAGAACCATATGGAGAAAACTGATTTGAATCAGGTAGCAGAGTGGTTTCTGTCTGCAGTGTGTGCATTGTTCATATGAGTGAGTTGAAGTTTTTTGTCTTTGTTCTTTCAATATAGGCTGCTATTTTTTTAAGAAACAAAAGTGTGCTCATGGAGAATTGAGAACAGATCCTCACTGTGAAGAGAGAAATTGAGTTAACATTTCAAGTCCAATATGACGACTCTTCATAACCCAAAGAAGTCATATTGGGCCTGAAATAATAACTCTGTTCCTTTCTTGACGGATGCAGCCAGCCTTGCAAAGTTTCTGCAGCACTTTCTCCAATCTTTGACTGGCTTGTAGTTTAACACTCCAATGCTTCCTGTCTTTATCACTGGAGTAATCTTTGATATTTAACTGCTTACACTAGAACAAGGAGGAGGTTATGGCTGTACGGTTTCGGGAAGCTGATAGTATTGCTGCCATCGCTGAACTTCGCCAGCGTATTGCTGAACTGGAAATTCAGGTACAGATGCTTGCTCCTTGTGTCATGTGTGTTCAGATCATCTATACAGCCACATCTTGTTACTTGTTGTCTGTGGTCACTCTCCTTGGCATATACCCCAATAATTAACAGGCTTTCTCTCCCATTCATCACTCTGCTTTCTCTCTATATCGGACAGTATTGTGAATTTGCATCGGTCAGTTATGGTTGTCCTGTCCCAGTACCAGTTGGTCTCCTTTATCGTGATTTCCAGTCACTTTCTGTATGTCTGACGACAGTTTTAACCTTTCACCTCTTGCCTTTCTGCTCTAAGTTCCAAGGTAAGTACCCATTGGAAGACCACCATTTTAAAATGGATAATGTTTATGCCAGGTGCTTGCATTCTCTTTCTCCTCACCTCCTAGCTAAAATATCTTAACTAACTTTTAAATTCTCTGACTTGTCATGAAATTTGTGGTTTGCTGTCTAATATCATTTGATTCCTTGCTGGTGTTTGATATGTATCATTATACAATGCAGTGCATGTGTTTTGTTTATTTAATTGGGTGTCCAAAATTGTAAATCTCAGCAATCAGTCAATAAGGCAGGCTCCCTATATTCTTGCACCAGAATATAAAACCTTCAGCCATGTGATTACTTTGTCCGAGTGCTTCACTTTCATCCATCAACCAGCGCAAGCTTAGTCTAAGTCTAGAACTTGTATTTATGAGGCTATTGATAGTTTCCAAAGGTGGGAGTTGGTGACGGTACCAATACGAGTACCAGCTGGTTAGAAGTGCTGGTCATAGAATCCCTACAGTGTGGAAACGGGCCATTCAGCCCAACAAGTCCACATCGACCCTCCAAACAGCATCCCACCTAGACCCAACCTCCTACCCTTCTCCTATATCCCTGCATTTCCCATGGCTAACACACCCAATCTACATATCCCTGAACACTGTGGGAAATTTAGCATGGTCAATCCACTTAGCTTGCACATCTTTGGACTGTGGGTCAAAACCAGAACACCCGGCAGAAAGCCACGCAGACATGGGGAGAATGTGCAAACTCCGCACAGACAGTAGCCTGAAGGTGGAATTGAACCCAAGTCCCTGGCGCTGTCAGGCAGCACTGCTAGCCACCATACTTCCACAGGTAACTCCGTCAAGCAACTTGGACCAATGGTGGAGAAATGAAGAATTGACCAAGGAGCTGTTCCTCTATTTCTATCTCCTGAGATCTCAAACCATAGCAAGCCTTGGGTGCATTCTCAGGTCTCTAGCCCCTGCACAAGATGCTTGTCCTTCAATAAACCTGAAGTAGGTGGTTTTCTATGACCTGGTGTTAAGTCTGAATAAATGGAAGCAAAGGCAGAGGATAGTTGGAAATTCACTGTTGTAACCTAGCCAACTTGCTCTTCTCCACTGCTGTTTCCATTTCTTTTGAAGCTGCTATCATGGCCGTCATATTGGACCTGAAATGATAAATCTGTCCTCTCTGTCAGTTTCTCCAGCTCTTTCTGTTTTGATCATGGAAGAAATTAGTTGGGTTTTCAAGAGAGACTCTGTAGAGCATATTTGAAATATTCATGGGTAGAGCAGAAAAAGTTTTGTGTATCGAGTCGTTTATATTTTGGTGAGATTTTGCATGCTAAAATCTTTTGACATCTGCTGTCACCTTTCACTGTTTCGTTTGAGAATTTGGGTGATGTCTGACTGTAGTGAGAGCTGATGAGTCACTCGCTACATTCCTGTGTTTAGTATGTAGCTGGGTTTTTAACCACATGTTGCATGCACTGTATGACTAGGAAAGCAAGCCTCACTCATTCCATTGCTCTTAGACTGTTGGCCAAGACTAAGATCATAGAAATTCGAATGAATAAGCTCTGCAGTCATTTCAAAAATATTACAAAAGATTTGAAAACCTGTTCTGAGTGTTAATAAATATAGATTAACCTAAATATTCGTGACAAATCTTAACAATGCATGCCATCAGCTTGCCCATGCAATGACTTTGAAAACCAAATGTCAGAATTGAGAGAGATTACGAAACTCATGAACCCTTTAATTCCCCACTTCTTATTTGTGCTGAGTTCAGGGGTATTGAATCCAGTGACTGCTTGTGTCATGTCAATTCACTTTGAGAAATAAAAGGAGGAATTTGCATGAATACAAGGCTGCCTTTTGGAGAGGGCTTTGGCACCTCAGTGTCAAAGTAAAAGTGGGCCCTGAGCCCACACTGGCACTGAAATCTGCTTGGCAGTATTGCCACGGGTGGCTTCCTGATTGAACGGCTGGCAAGCTCTCTTAGAGGTGCTGTAGGAGAAGGCTTCCCTGCTGGGGTCTGCAGGAATGGTTGGGCTATCATAGGTAGCTGAAGGAAAGCACTAGGGCTGAAGGTGGGTGGTTTCACCTCCAGAGAGGAGCTGCAACAGCTGCTGTCCCTGGACAAGGCCCCTTCTTTAGTTAGTGAGTCCTTTCCTGCTGGGAAGGCACCTCCAGAGAGCTGTCACCCCGCTATCTGCAAAATGCCAGCAACACTGTACAGTGGCCTGTAATTGTTTGTGTATTTGTATGAAACATCTGTCTGCCTCTTTGGGCTTGGCTAACCTCAGCATCCAGTCCAAATGATGGTTAAACTTCCCAACACGGGAGGCAGCAAAATTCTGGCCATTAGAGTTCTACACAATCCAGGAACATAGCTAAGTACTTCCATTTCCATGAAATAATTTTAGTCACCATTATAATGTAGGAAATTCAGCAGCCAATTTTCACGCAGCTAGCTCCCACAGCAAGTTGGAAGATGATTAACCAAATCATCTGTTTTTTAAGTTATTAATTGATTGATAAATATTGACCTGGACAGCAGAGAGAGCTCTCCTGCCTCTTTGAATAGTGTCATGGGGTCCTTTGACAGGTTAGACATGGCCTGAATTTAATATTGTATTGTAGTCATGCCAGGAGAACAGGAGCACTGGAGTGCCAACATGGAGTTTTCACCTACACTTCTGGAGTGAGGATTGAATCCTTAATTTCTTGATTTCATAGTGTTGATGCACAAATTGTGGCTGATGTTCTCCTTGCTATCAATGGTTAACCCACCACTGAAGCAAACCTGTGACTGTTAAATTTCTGCAGCTCCTAGTGGTTCACTGCAGTAGAAAATGTAAGTTTGTACTAAACTGCAAGTGAAAAAAGGACATAAGATTTTGCCTGACATTACTGCTCTGTTTTCTGCCCTTCCCAGGAATGCAATACTAAACTAATCCATTTACTTTTCTCAGTTTGGAAGCCAGTAGTCTGAAACTGAACCAGTTCTGGGAGCTGCTGGATTTTTGGGTGTGAGGGAAATGTTAGTGTTAATAGGGAGGCATTGAATCAGAGCTTGCAGACTGGACCCAGATCAGTGATTTGAGTGTGGATGATAATAAGTGGTATTTAGTTCAGACACTCACCACAGATTGAGAGGTGGTTGGTGTTGTAGGGGGAGGTAATCTCAAGTCACGCAAGCCTGAAAGACCACGCTAGGTAGTGTTATGAGTAATGGTTTATGATCAGCTGATAGTCACGTCAATGCTCCAGAGTAGTTGTGAAAATGAGCAGTTATTAGGGCATTTCACATTAAACAGTACCAATTGTAACAATCAATGAGGATGAAAATGACTATTTCTGAAAATATTCACTCCACGGTGTTTATACAGCGCCCAGTTTGGAATATAGCAATAGGTGTAGGCAATTTAGCCCGTCAAAGCTGTTCTTCTATTCTGTGAGATCTCAGTGGATCTCATTTAGTGTGAGCCAGGAAGTGGAAATGGAGTGTGACAGCTATGTGTGATCACTGAGAGGCTGCCTCTCTCAGGAGGGCAGTGTGCCTGAAAGACGGTAGGTATAGCAACCAACACGTGGACTGCAGGCTGGTGATGGGAGCCAAGTGACTTCAACCCTGTTGAAAGATAGGGTGGTTTCAAATACTTAGTACAGTACATTCATCAAGGATTGGAGCATATGTTTTGTAGACTTTGCCCTGGCTAGGCTCTGTAATACCTTCATGTCAGGTGTGGCTGCCTGGTGAAATCCTGCCTGACTGGCTGTACCTGAGGGGAGGGACTGAACCAAGAGAACTACTTTGTGTTAGTGGTGATGTTCATCTTTTTATTTCCATTGGTATTTCCCACCTACATGAAGAAAAACCAATCCCCCTCCCCCAATCCCTCCTTCAGTCGCCCTCACAATCTCGCGCTCTGTCTCTCCTCCTCCTCCTCCTCCTCCTCCTCCGAAGTGCACAATTAAGCAACTCACTGGAGGAGGAGGTTGTACAAATATCTCCATCCTGGGGAAGCCCAGAATACCAGTCCAAAAGATAAGGCTGAAGCGTTTGAGCAATCTTCAACCAGAGTTGCTGAGCAGATGATCCATTTCAACTTCTCCAAAGGTTCCCAGTATCGACAGGCCAGGTATTCAGCCAATTTGATTCATTCCACATCATATCACAAAACAGTTGGAGGTATTGGATACTGCAAAGGTTGTGGCCCTGACAACATTTTGGCAATCATCCTAAAGGCTTGTGCTCCAGAAGTTGCCACTACCCTCGCCAAGCTATTCCAGGACAGCTACAGCACTGACATCTATTCGACTTTGTGGAAAATTGCCCAGGTATGTCCTGTATATGAAAAGCAGGACAAATCGAACCTGGCTAATACTGCCCCATTAATCTACTCTCTGTCATCAGTAACGTGATCGAAGGTGCCATCAACAGCGCTGTCGAACAGCACCTGCTGAGCAATAACCTGCTCAGTGATGCCCAGTTTGGGGTCCATCAGCCCCTTGTGGTTAAGCAATGGCTTAGTTGTATTATCACTAGACTATTAATCTGAAAAAAAAACCAAAAGAACTATCCAGCTAATGTTCTGGGGGCCTGGGTTCAAATCCCACCACGGCAGATGGTGGAATTTGAATTCAATAAAAAAAATGTCAAATTAAAAATCTACTGATCACCATGAAATCATTGCCAATTGTTGGAAAAAACCATCTGGTTCACTAATG